TCCCGTGTGTGCTCTGCCTCTGACGTCCCTTCCGGTGGCTTCTGGCGAGCGAGTCCTTTGGTCGGTTGGTTTCTACCTTGAAGTGGAAGTTTCCAGACAGAAAAGAGGTAACAGTCACACAATGGAAGGTTCCAGGTGTTTCCGTGGAAGGTTCCGGGTGTTTCTATGGAGGGTTCCGGGTGTTTCCGGGAAGGTTCCGGGTGTGTCCGTGGAGGGTTCCGGGTGTTTCCATGGAAGGTTCCGGGCGTTTCTATGGAGGGTTCCGGGTGTTTCCAGGAAGGTTCCGGGTGTTTCCGTGGAAGGTTCTGGGTGTTTCTGGGAAGGTTCCGGGTGTTTCCGGGAAGGTTCCGGGTGTTTCTGGGGAGGATTCCGGGTGTTTCTGGGAAGATTCCGGGTGTTTCTGGGGAGGTTCCGGGTGTTTCCGTGGAGGGTTCCGGGTGTTTCCCACGAGCGAGTCCTTTGGTCGGTTGGTTTCTACCTTGAAGTGGAAGTTTCCAGACAGAAAAGAGGTAACAGTCACACAATGGAAGGTTCCAGGTGTTTCCGTGGAAGGTTCCGGGTGTTTCTATGGAGGGTTCCGGGTGTTTCCGGGAAGGTTCCGGGTGTGTCTGTGGAAGGTTCCGGGTGTTTCTAGGGAAGGTTCTGGGTGTTTCTATGGAAGGTTCTGGGTGTTTCCGTGGAAGGTTCCGGGTGTTTCTAGGGAAGGTTCCGGGTGTTTCCGTGGAAGGTTCCGGGTGTTTCCATGGAAGGTTCCGGGTGTTTCCACAGGAAGGTTCCAGGTGTTTCCGTGGAGGGTTCCGGGTATTTCCGTGGAGGGTTCCGGGTGTTTCCGTGGAGGGTTCTGGGTATTTCCGTGGAAGGTTCTGGGTGTTTCTGGGGAGGATTCCGGGTGTTTCTGTGGAAGGTTCCGGGTGTTTCCGGGGAGGGTTCCAGGTGTTTCCGGGGAGGGTTCTGGATGCAGGATAGTTAACGTTGGCGAGGAACGCGACCATGATGACAGCTCGGGGACCTGTGGTCTCTGCCCTGGTGCCGCGGCCGCCCTGAGGGATCCGGGAAACAGGAAAACCCCTTCGCTTCCCCAAAGGCCGTCGTCAGGAGCGTCCCCCAGAGGCAGGCTCAGCGGGGGCGGCGATGGGCCTTCGGAGGGAAGACGCCCGACGACGACAGGGCGGCCGCCGGAACTGCTTCTGGTTAGAATGTCTTCGTTCAGACCATCCTGTGTGGTTACTTGTATTTTTGTATTTATTTTTATTTCATTTTTTCAGAGAGCGAGGAAGGGAGAGGGACAAAGAGATGGAAAGGTCGATGAGAGGGCACATCCATCGCTGCCTCCCGCACGCCCCCCCCGGGGACCAAGCCCGCAGCCGGGCCTGTGCCCCGACCGGAGTCGAACTGGGACCCCCAGGTTCCGAGGTGGACGCCCCACCCTGAGCCCCGGCCGTGGGGTTACTTCCCGTCTCGGAGTCCGTGAGGCGGCCACGCCGGCCGGTGAGAGCAATGACTGTAACGCAGCGGTTCTCAACCTGTGGGCCGCGACCCCTTTGGCGGTCGAACATGCGGCCTGTGGGCTGTGAGTTTGACGTGCTTGCCTTAGGTACTGAACGCTGCCCTAAATGATGCTAAATTCCCTAGATATTCCACTCTAATCCTACCCGTGAGCTATGTAGCTTTATGCTCTAGAACAGTGGTTCTCAACCTTCCTCATGCCGCGACCCTTTAATACAGTTCCTCATGTTGTGGGGACCCCCAATTTCATTGTTACAAATTGAACATAGTTAAAGCATCGTGATTAATCACAAAAACAATATGTAATTATGTATGTGTTTTCCGATGGTCTGAGGCGACCCCTGTGAAAGGGTCGTTCGACCCCCAAAGGGGTGGCGACCCACGGGTTGAGAACCGCTGCTCTAGGAGATCGCTAAAAGGACGCAGTCTGCCTATCACAACAGCTGGCTGTAAAGGGCCACGGACAGCAAAGAACAAGCTCTGGTTCTGTTCACCAGCTAAACACTTTGGTTCTAATATAGACCCATGGCCCTGGCCGGGGGCTCAGTTGGGCAGAGCATTGTCCCAGGACCAAGGTTTCAAGTTCGATCCCCGGTCAGAGCACAGACAGGAATCAACTAATAAATGCATAAGGAAGTGGAGCAACAAATCGATGTTTCTAAAATCAATCAATCAATAACCATGGTTACTAATTAACCCTGAAAGACTCAAACAACAAGAAAGCAGCTTACAGGATTCCTGGGTTTGACTGGATATTGTCACAACTGGGTTCCAAATTCTCCAATAAGGGCCCCGCCTGCACATGGACCTGATCCAATTCAGTGGCACCCAGAAGGGAAACAAGCTACGAAACCGCTAAAGAACGATCCAGAGCAGCGGTTCTCAACCTGTGGGCCGCGACCCCTTTGGCGGTCGAACGACCCTTTCACAGGGGTCGCCTCAGACCATCGGAAAACACATATATAATTACATATTGTTTTTGTGATTCATCATGATGCTTTAATGATGTTCAATGTGTAACAATGAAAATACATCCTGCATATCAGATATTTACATGACGATTCATCACAGTAGCAACATGACAGTGATGAAGTGGCAACGAAAATAATGTTATGGTTGGGGGTCACCACAACATGAGGAACTGAATTAAAGGGTCGTGGCATGAGGAAGGTTGAGAACCATTGATCTAGAGCAGGGGTCCTCAAACTACGGCCCGCGGGCCACATGCAAATATTGTATTTGTTCCCGTTTTGTTTTTTTACTTCAAAATAAGATATGTGCAGTGTGCATAGGAATTTGTTCATAGTTTTTTTTTAAACTATAGTCTGGCCCTCCAACCGTCTGAGGGACAGTGAACTGGCCCCCTGTTTAAAAAGTTTGAGGACCCCTGGTCTAGAGCGTCCACCCTGGGGCACCGTCATGAGAGACACTTGAACTCCAAAATTCAGAGGCCGTCACAGACCTGCAGGCTCTTGTAGCCACAAGTCCGGTCAGAAGCCGGGGCCCCGCCCTGCCTGACGCCGTCTCTGCTGCGGACACCGCCTGAGCCAACGGCAGACAGCGACGGGCTCTCGTCCTGTTAAACCTCCACCGAGTTCTCCTCCCATCCAACACCCGCCAGCCGCCTGGCTCTGGCCCCTGCAGCCAACGGCACTCACACTCCACGCAACAGGCTGCACCCCGCAGCTTCGCCCCTCGGTTTGCAGGACGAAGACACGCGTGTTTGCGTGTTGCTGACGGGCCCTGCCTCTTCCCAGGGGTGGTGCACAGGCAGTTCCTTGGCGATGCTGACACCACCGGCTCGCGGACGGGTTTCGAAAGGCTGCGCAGGACACGCCCGGATGACATCATGGAAGGTTCTCATTTTACCCGAATAAAACCCGCCTCACGGGCCTCATTGTTCTAACTCGGCTTGTCAATCGGCCAAAGATGAAGTCATGGCCAGTATTTACCGTGGTGGTGGCTGTGCCACTGGGGTAGCTCACACCTTTAGAACGTTTCGGAGGCAGCGAGGCTTCTTAATTTTCTTTTGTTTCTTAAGATATATATGTATATATATTTAATATATTTTATTGATTTTTTACAGAAAGGGAGAGGGATAGAGAGTTAGAAACATCGATGAGAGAGAAACATTGATCAGCTGCCTCCTGCACACGCCCTACTGGGGACGTGCCCGCAACCAAGGTACATGCCCTTGGCCTGAATCGAACCTGGGACCCTTCAGTCCGCAGGCTGACGCTCTATCCACTGAGCCAAACCGGTTAGGGCTTAAAATATATTTTTATTGATTTCAGAGAGGAAGGGAGAGGGAGGGAGAGAGAAACATCAGTGATGAGAGAGAATCATGAATCGGCTGCTTCCTGTGCACGCCCCACACTGGGGGTGGAGCCAGTAACCCGGGCATGTGCCCTGACTGGGAATTGAACTGTGACCTCCTGGTTCATAGGTCAATATTCAACTGCTGAGCCACACCGGCTGGGCGGGCTTCTAAATTTCCTAAGGCAGCCCGTAAAGAATGGAAAACAGGTTGCAGAATTATTAGATGCCGTACAGAAATGACAACAGTGGGCAACCATCAAAATTCCGGGACATTCTGAAGCAGCCACCGAGGCAGCAAGAGGAAATTGTTTAGCCGATGCTGTGGCCAGACCTGCTTGACCATTCCCAAGGGAGAGGGACAGAGGTCCCACACGTCCAAGCCGTGAGGCCTCAGGTCGCCCCAGGCTGGGCGCTGTCTGTAACCCCAAAATGGACCCAAATGGGAAGGAACATTCCAAAATGGGTGAGTGGGTTTGTCTGTCCATCATCAGTGTTTGGGTGGCAACCCAACTGTTGAGGTAAAAAACAAAATAAAACAAAAACCTTAGCCAAACATGAACAAATCCTTTTAACTTATTTCGGCTCGTCCTCTCTAAATTGTGCCGGGCCAGCACAGCCAAGG